CATACTCATATTGATGAGTGATAAAAGTTGCTAGGAAAGGGGGAAGCACTGCATGCTATGGCCTAACTACAAGGGAGACGGGGAGGCCAGAGACTCAAATGGAAGTGGGAAGAGGCTGGAGAGTAAGGTAATGGTCAGATCGTGGAGGGCTGTTTGGTCCTGCTGTGGAGGTTGTGCTCAGCCTTTGAGAAGCTTGTGGAAGTTTTTAAGCAGGAGAATGGACTGTTTTAGTGTTTTTAAAATATGATCCTGTCTGCAGCTAGGAAACTGGAAGTAAAACAAAGCCTTATTCCTTCTGCTCTATGCTCCAAGGTCCTTCCTTCTTAGCTGATCAGATGTTTTTATATCTTAGAGTAGTACTGGGTTGTGTGCTCAGCAGAAGGAATTGACTTTTCTTTCTTAATAGAAATGGTAAAAAGGGCAAAATCAAGAATATTTTAGGCACTGATAAAGTATGTTATTGGACTTTTATTTTTTCGTTTCCTTCAAGGACCGACTATGTTTCTCAGTGTGTTGATTACATTTTCAACACTTCTGTAAAGGCAGTTTATGAGGAATTTCAGAGTGGATTTTATACAGTCTGTGACAAAGAGATACTTAGACTTTTCCACCCTGAAGAACTAAGGACAGCAATAATTGGAAATACTGATTATGACTGGAAACAATTTGAAAAGGTAGGTAATAACTAATGCCCCCAATTCTTCTGAACTACGTTTATATGTTCACCGCTAAGACCCAGTTCCTCCTTCTTTTTCTCAAGAATTCAGTATATGAGCCAGAATACCATGAATCACATCCTACTATACAGATGTTTTGGAAAGCTTTCCACAGATTAACTTTGGATAAAAAGAGACAATTCCTCTGTAAGTATTACAGTAATAGAAGGATCTGTAAGTATATATCTTTTAAAAAGATAAATATCTTATTTGTGGTGGATCAAGTGTGTTAACAGGAACACAAGGGTTATAACCCAAGTTCCCTTCTGGACCAATGGTTTTTCTCTTACATAAGCCTGTTCCCCATTTTTAAAATTGTAATAAAGATATCACTGTTTTACTACCTTCTCTACACTGACTCTAATCCCACCTCCAATTTTAGTTTGCATCCACTTTCCTCGTTCTAGTTGGCTCCTTATCAAGCCTTTTTATGTTACCTTCAGTTATTAATTATGTCCTATGGATTTAGGACAATGTAAACTGCCTCTAATATTATTTTAGAAATAATAATAGTAGCAATGACCACTGATGATAATAACAGCATTTATTGTGTGCTTATTCTATGCCAGCCATAGTACTGGTAACGTTGTAGCTATTAACACCCTTTGTCCCAATAGCAACCTTATGAGGTAGGTACTTATTTTCTCCATCTGAGGAAAAAGAGGGTTGGAGCATTTAGTAGCTTCCTATGTTCAGATACCTGGTGAGTGTCAGAACCAGAATTTGAACACAGCAGGCTGATCCAAAGCCCAGGCTATTGACCACTAAGCTCTGTGTCCTTGGGCTATACAAACTTTTCCGAGAGGGAACACTAAACTTTC